AGATTCCATGCGGGCGCTGGTTGGAGTCCCGGTTGCTCTGTTTCCAAGGGCCCCTGTGCTGCACATAAACAGGCTGGGGCGAGGCAGGGGAGGGGGCAGCTGCCTGTTCCAAGCCCACAGGCCACAGTGGGGGGGGGGCAGGGGCATGACCCCCACCCCTCCCGTGGGGCCTCGGCCGGGAAGGGGCGCCCCTCCCCCAGGAAGGCAGGCACCAGCCCTTCAGACTCACCCCCCCTCCCCTCCAGATGTGTGCGCAGCTGTATCTTGAGCGGCGCCAATTCAGGACATTCCTTCCTGCTCATTAAGACTAATATGTCCTCCGCCATCAGCACCCCCGCTCAGTCCTCAGATATCAAAGCGTGGCCGAGGGGGACCCTCTCACAGGGTGCTGGTTTTTTTTTCCCCCTAGAACCATGCAGTTGGAAATGAGACCCAGAAGGTGGGTGAATGGATACCAGCTCTGTCGAGGAGCTGAAAGGGGTTGGCGCTCACAGAAGCTGCCCCAGGGCCTTGGGCTGTGCGTCTGTGAATGCCCCCTGATGTGGGGGTGTCCAGCAGGAATGCAGCGCCCCCATCCAAAACTGAGGTCTGTCTGGGACAAGTGTAGGGATGGGGACAGAGCCCAGGTCCTGCCCCCGGGGGAGTGGCACCAGACGCACACGGGGGCCTGCAGGGCTACGGCAGCTGTGTTGATGTCCCTACTTCACAGGTGGGCAAACCGAGGCTCGGCGAGGAGGGACGTGCTGGGACCACAGGAGCTTCATGGGTGTCCCTGGCAGCCAGGCTCACTGCCTGCCCCCCAAGATCAGCAGACCTCCAGAGAGTCGTGGGGAGTGGGCAGGGCAGGCTGTAAGGAGGGACTTCTGAGTGCCCTTGAGCCAATGGAGCAACAGGCCCGGCGCACCTGGCTTCCTCCGGGCCACCATGCATCCTCAACCCGACGGGCAGATGAGACTGAGGCTGACAGAGAGGCCAAAGGGCCAGCCCTGCCCACTAGCGAGGGGTGTCAGATGGCCCCCAGCCCCACTCACCCACAGGGATGGACCTGGCCAATGCTGGGTTAAGCCCCCGCTCTACGTGGCAGGTAGCTGTCCTGACCGCCGGCTGCACAGCAAGTGAAGTCGCCCCTGGCGCGGATGGGGGCAGAGCAGGGACCCAGGGCACAAAGCTAAGGGCCTGCACCCAGGGAGGCGCAAAGACGGAGGCTCGCCCACCAAGGGCCGCCCGGACTCTGTGGGGCGCGGGCTCTGTCGCCCCCTAGTGGCCACAGCCGCTCTTGGCGACGTCGGGGAAATCCAGAGAGGCCGATGCGCAGGGACGGGAGGGGTGGGTCCCCCGATACCCAATTCGTGCCTGGGTTCCCCCATCTGCAGAGGAAGAGGCCCTGGTGTGCAGGGAGGAACGTGGGCAGCTCACTTGCCTCCTCCGCTTTCTCACCTGGGTGACAGACTAGGGGAGAAGGAAGCCTGGGGCTAGAAGGGTCCCCGTGCAGGATTTGGGGGGCTGCGAGGGCGAGGCCGGTGGGGATCCCTACCAAAGAGCCCGAGAGGCCTTCCAGGGCTGTAGGGGTGGTGCCGGCCCATGCTTGACCTCGCAGCCCGCTGTGGCCGAGGAGAGGATCCGCACTCAGCACTTTGGCACATACTGTGACACGTTAAGCATCACACAGCTGCGATCCTGACAGCCTCCGGGCTCAGCTCCCCCTGAAAGTCTGACCTCCTGCCGAGAGACCCTAATGGATTCAGGGATGGGCACACTGGGAGCCCTGACCTGGAGAGTTTAGGGAGTCCTCAGGGCATGCGGGTATCTGCTCCGGCTCCAGCCTGGTGGGGCCTCAGGCGCAGCTATAAACCCTGTTCCTGGGTATTTCTCCCCCAAGCACTGCCTCAAGCGTTCACTGCACAGCCACGTATAAGGACACTTCAGGAAGTTTGTGCAAATGGCACTGGTGTGGTGGCATAGCAGGTCAAGCTGACCCCTGGGTGGGGGAGGGGGGTCCAGGCTGCACGGCGCCAGCATCTTGGCGAGAGCCCCAGGCCCTGGCTACAAGACAGAGGGGAGGGGACCAAGCCCGTGGGGTGGCCTCGCTCTGTAACAAGCCACTTTGGAGAACTCACTCACTCCTAGAGACGGACCGGCGTTAATCCACTTGCTCCCTGACCTAACCACCTTCCTGCAGCTTCCACCCCCTCAACCCAGCCTCACTGGGGACCACACTTCCAGCACTCGAGCCTTTGGGAGACAAACCACGGGCAGACCACAGCGGCATCCTTTCACCCGTTCTTTGGCCACTTCACTTTCCTCATCACTGAGTTTCCTGTTCACAATCGTTGCCCATTTTATTGTCCTTATTGATGTGTAGGGATTCCTTATATAGTCTGAGGGTTTTTTAAAGAAGGTTTATTTAGGCCGGCGCCGTGGCTCACTAGGCTAATCCTCCTTCTTGTGGCGCCGGCACACTGGGTTCTAGTCCCGGTTGGGGCACCAGATTCTGTCCCGGTTGCCCCTCTTCCAGGCCAGCTCTCTGTTGTGGCCCAGGAGTGCAGTGGAGGATGGCCCAAGTGCTTGGGCCCTGCACCCCATGGGAGACCAGGATAGGTACCTGGCTCCTGCCATAGGATCAGCGCGGTGCGCTGGCTGCAGCGCACTGGCCGCGGCGGCCATTGGAGGGTGAACCAATGGCAAAGGAAGACCTTTCTCTCTGTCTCTCTCTCTCTCACTGTCCACTCTGCCTGTCAAAAAAAAAAAAAAAAAAAAAGAGAGAGAGAGAGAGAAGGTTTATTTATTTGAAGGTCAGTGTTACAGTGAGAGAGGGAGAGACAAAGAAACAGAGAAAGATCTTCCATCCACTGGTTCACTCCCCAGATGGGCCCCACAAGGGCCAGGGCTGGGTCAGGTGGAAGCCAGGAGCTCCTCCCAGGTCTCCCACGTGGGTGCAGGGACCCAAGCATGTGGGCTGCCCTCTGCTGCTTTCCCAGGCACATTAGCAGGGAGCTGGATCGGAAGTGGAGCAGCCCAGATGAGAACCAGTGCCCATATAGGATGCCGGCACTGCTGACGGTGGCTTCACCTGCTATGCCCCGGTGCTGGCCCCTGCTGAATATTAATGCTTTGTTGGTCATTCGCTTGCAGATGCCTTGTCCTACTCTGTAGCTTTCAGTTTTCCCCCTTTTTATTGTGTCCTTTCACACCGATCTTTCATTTTAATGAAATTAAATCCTCCTGATAAGTCTTTATGGTGAACCCTTATACACCCCAATGTTGTAGTCCACATTCTTCTCCCAACATGTTCAGTTTGCTTTTTCACACTAGGTTTCTCTGTACCTGGAATGACTTTTGTGTGCAGAGATAAGAGATTTTATTTTTCTTCAAATAATCGATTGTCCTAGAACCATGTACCATTTTCAGTGATTTTTATCTTTAAAAATATTTTTTATTTATTTTTTTAAAGATTTATTTATTTGAAAGTCAGAGTTAGAGAGAGAGAGGAGAGGCAGAGAGAGAAAGAGGTCTTCCGTCTGATGATTCACTCCCTGATTGGCCGCAACAGCTGGAGCTGTGCTGACCCGAAGCCAGGAGCCAGGAGCTTCTTCCAGGTCTTCCATGCAGGTGCAGGGGTGCAAGGACTTGGGTCATCTTCTACTGCTTTCCCAGGCCACAGCAGAGCTGGATCGGAAGTGGAGTGGCCGGGTTTCGAACTGGCACCCATAAGGGATGCTGGCACTGCAGGCCAGGGCGTTAACCTGCTGCGCCACAGCGCCGGCCCTCAATACTTTTTATTTGAGAAAACAGAAAGGGAGACACAGAAATCTCCCATCATTTGGTTCACTCCCCACAAGGCCCAGGACTGGGCCAGGCCAAAGTCAGGAGCAGGGAAACCAATCCAAGCCTCCCACCCGGCCACAACCTGCTGCCTCCAGGGTGTGTATCAGCAGGAAGTGGGAACTGGGAGCGGAGCTAGGACTTGAACCAGGACTGCTATATGGGAGGGGATGGAGGTGCTAACTGCTAGCCCATCACAACCCCAGCCCTCCAAGTGATTTTCAAAGTGGGAAAAGCTACAGTTGTTTTGAAAAGACAATCAAGTCTACCTAATCCATGTGTAGTTTAGCAACTGAAAGCAACAATGCAGCGACAGCAGCACCACAGAGCAAGTAGTTTACCCCAGTGACTGCAGGGCGCTGAGGGCAACGGGCTAAGCCACCGCTCGCAGCGCCTGCATCCCCTATCCGGGAGCCAACTTGGCCCCGCTGCTCCAGCTGAGTTCATGGGGGGAAGACGGCCCTGTGCTTGGGCCCCTGCCACCCACGTGGGAGAACGAGATGGGGTTCCTGGCTCCTGGCTGTTGCAGCCATTTGGAGGATGGGGGGAGTGAGCCCGCTCTCTTCCAAATAATTCAATAAAGCTTAAATAAAATCAGCTGACAGGCCAGCGCTGTGTCGTAGCGGGTAAGGCTCCGCCTGCAGTGCCTGCATCCCACATGGGCGCCGGTTCGAATCCCGGCTGCTGCTGCTCTCTGCTATTTCGAATCCCGGCTGCTCCAGCTCTCTGCTATGGCTTGGGAGGGCAGTAGAAGATGGCCCAAGTCCTTGGGCCCCTGCCCCCACGTGGGAGACCCGGAAGAAGCTCCTTAAAATCTCCTTTGACACACCAGGCCTGAGCCGGTCACGGTGTCCGCCCAGCGGCGGCCTTTGCCCCAGGGACCTCCCGGCTACCACGCTCAGGTTTCCATGACCGGCGGCGCAGCATCTTCGGCCAGTCTGGTTCCGGCTGACCTTTGTCCCAACGCCCGGGTCGCAAGGAGCAGGAGGCTAACTCGGCCCCGCCGATTCTGCGGTTCGGCCGCTCTCGCAAGCCGGCCCGGGGCTCGGGACTCCGCCGCGCCTCAAGACCGGGACCATCGGCAAGGGCTCGGCTCCGCAGAGGCGCCCCGGGTCCGGGCGGAAGTAGCCGGGCGACTCCGAGCCCGAGCGGGCCAGGACCGGCGGAGGTCCAGTCCCTCCGACCACAGCTCACTTCCGGTCTGCAGACATGAGCCCGGGCTGAACCGAGTAGGGAGCAGGAGGCTCTCCTGCCTCAGAGCTGCGGAAAGGGCGGAATGGAGGATGAGCGGCAGCACCCCTCACGGCCTCGCCCCAAGGTGACCACCTCGCGCAAACTCCCCTCCGCCTTCGCTTAATACCCTGTGCGCCTGCGCGCGCCTCTAGCCGGGCGGCCGTGCTGCGCGACACTGCGCCTGCGCTAGAGTTCTGCCCGCGAGCCCTGACTCCGCTAATTTCCCCTACCGCTGCGCGCGCAATACCCTGTGCGCATGCGTGTCCGCTTCGGCCTGGATGGCTTTCGCGCGTCAAACTCCCTCTGCGCGTGCGCTGCCCTTTGCACTCCAGGAGCGCGGCACCGCGCGGCCCTCAATGCGCATGCGCCTTGCTTGCCCCGCGCCTGTGGCGGCAGAGGGTCGCCTTGAGGCAGAACCAGGGCTCCAGTCCCCTGTTCTGTTAATGGCTCTCCGCCCTCCTCCGATTCGGGGGGGTCTGAGTTAGAAACCTGCCTGCCCAGGGGTTTCTGATGAGATTGTGGACCCACGTGAATTAGGTGCATTCGCCCATGAAGGTTTTAAGGAAGCCATGAATTTTCCTGAACCAGCTTGTGCGGGAGGGGATGGTGGTGTTGGATGCTAGGCCTGGACTGGCGTGAGCAGGGTTCACGCCCCGAGGTGGGGTGCCGGCTCGGCCGCTAGCGCCTCCTGCCCTCTCTCAGGTCCTCCATCCCCCGTGCCCTCTCTCAGCTCCGGCCGCCCTGAAGGAGCAGCGGCAGCGGGCGAAGCCCATGGCACCCAACGCGGCCCTGCGTTCTCCAGCCTGCGCATGGTGCCGTCCCCTCTACTTGTCACCGTCTGTACAGATGTCGCTTTCTCTCAGGCCGTTTTCCTATGACCACCTTATTTATAATAGGGCTGGGGGCGGTGTGCTCCTGGTCAAACTGCTCCCTGCAGAGCCGGCATCTCACGGGGGCGCTGGTTCAAGTCCCGGCTATTCCACTTCTGATCCTGCTCCCTGCTGATGCGCTTGGGAAAGCAGCAGAGATGGCCCAAGTGCATGGGTCCCTGCACCCACGCGGGAGACCCGGAAGAAGCTCCTGGCACCTGGCTTCTGCCTGGCCTAGCCCTGGTTGTTGCAGCCATTTGGGAAGTGAACCAGTGGATGGAAGATCTCTCTCTCTCTCTCTCTCTCTCTCTCCCCCTCTCTCTAACTCCGCCCAGGTTTCGGAGCCCACTGTGTTTGGAAACTCTTTCTCTGCAGGGAATCCTTGGGGATCAGGAGCTGCTGTCCTGCATGGGGCAGAGCTTCACCCCCTGGGCCCCACACCACAGCAGGTGTGGCCAAGGCCAGCCAGCTAAGAGGACGCTGGGAAAGGCTGGTAGGGCATGCACTGAGTGAGGGGGGGTGGGGTCAGAGACTCAGAGCAGAAGGGTGGGGTCCCTCTGTTGCCTGGTGGCCACGTAGCCCAAATAGCTCCCCTTGGGGCCTGGTTCAGATCAATTGTGACGCTAGGCATGGCAGGCCCGGCCTGGGGAGGGCAGGGGAGGCTGCTGTCGGTCACTGTGTGTCCTCCTCTCTGTCCCCAGATTCAGAGCAGGGTCCTGTTCCTCACCATCTTTGCGGCTGGCATTGGTGGGACTTTTCAGTTTGGCTACAACCTTTCCATCATCAATGCCCCGACCTTGGTATGTACCTGTCGTGACCACCACCGGCCTAGAAGGCACTGAGGGAGAGCTGACAGCTGCCCACTGCCCGGGGCTTCAGCCCAGCGTCCACTGGGTGGCGCTTGCTCCCATGTGTCCCTCTCCTCTGGGGTGTCCCTGAGGTGCCTGTGGGCTGGGACAGGGCTCTGCGTTCTCCGCTGAGACCACATGTGCTCCCTCGTCTCGGCTTGATGACACCCCTGCCGCTGGCGTGGGGCGGGAGCCTAGCCCAAAGCCGCGGTCTCCTGTGTGTGATTCATATTCAGCAAGACAGTTCACAGTGCACCTGGAGAACACTCGTGGACATGGAGAGTCAGGCAGTGCAGATCCGTCACCCCCACCCCCCACCCCCCACGGAGGGACACCCAAGAGGCACAGTTAGTTACCAAAGCAGGAGGGAAAGAACAGAGCCCTAGTGACCGTTGGCCAGGGTCATGGCAACCTTAGGTGACCTCATGGGGGTGGGGAGGAACCAGAGGAACAACTCCCCCTCCCCATCCCTCTCCTCGCCTTCTCTGCGGTCCTGCTGGTGCTCCCCATTGGCCAAGTTCAACAGAAGCCTGCTCACAGGTGTGGGTAGGGGCGCAGCTGGGGTGAGAAAGGTGGCAGTGACTCCAAAGGGGTACAAGAAATACAGCTTAGTCTTCGGTCTCCCAGTGGAGCTGGAACCCAAGAAGATGGTTCGAGGACCCCCCAGCTTACAGCCAGTTTGTCAGAGTGTGGGAGGCCTGGGCTTGTGATTAGCTGAAGTGGGGGTGGGGAGCAGTCATGTGGGGTCTGGGGCCCTGGGACTTGGGAGCAGTATAGATATAATGTCACTCCCTGTCCCTAGTGCTGAATCAGAAGGCTGAGGAGCGGGTTTGAGGAAGGTGTAATCTGTCTACCGACCAGGGCGCCAGTAGATGGTCCATCTGGAGGACTGCTGTCCTGGCCAGTGAGGACGGCCCAGGGTTCTTAAGGAGGCCGGGCTGCTGAGTCAGGGGCCGAAGTCTGAGAAGGGGCGTCGGTCCCTGGGACGCTTGCCTGATGGCTCCACCTCCTCAAGAGCAGGGCACAGCCGGATGTTCTGCAGATACGGACCGGAGGGGATCTGAGAGACGCGAAGTAGCGTGCCAGGGGACTCCAGTCAGTCACACGCCCAGTAGTCCTCAGACCTGAAAAAGCAAAAGAAAAACATGTTTGGTTCGGTTTCCAGAATGGGATTAAGTTGTAGCTCAGTGTGGGCAACTCCCATGCCTTTGCCATGGGGAGGTGTGGTGTGAGTGTGGAGGCCCGGTGTTTTCCCAGAGACGGGTCAAGGGAGAGTGGCCAGCACCGAGCTGTGGGAAATATTGCCTGGGGCAGAGAAACCAGCCTGGCACCCTGCACTTAGGAGAGACTCAGGCCAGTCGATTCCTGCCCCACGGAGCACCATGCGGCTCAGCAGACCTGGTGCCTGCCCTGCAGAGGCCAGGGCCCTATGAGGGAGAGGGCTGTGTCTTGTCCAACACTGCTCCCTTGCCCCTGTCCCCAGAACACTGACTGGCATCTCTGTCCACAGTACATTCAGGAATTCACCAATGAGACGTGGCAGGTGCGCACTGGTGAGCCACTGCCCGACCGCCTGATCCTGCTGGTGTGGTCCCTCATCGTGTCCCTTTACCCCCTGGGGGGCCTCTTAGGGGCGCTCCTGGCGGGACACCTGGCCGTCATGCTGGGAAGGTAGGCTCTTCCTGTGTGGTGCAGCAGGTGCATGGCCCAGAGCCGCTGCTCACTCTCATTCTGCTGTGGCTTCACTGAGGGAGAGGGGGACCCACTTACAGGGAGCTTTGGTAGAGGAGAGAAAGCCAGGACTCCTGACTGCTGGCTCCAGACGCTATCCAACATCGAAGGAGTACTTTCCCCAGAGCTCTGCTTTTTTCTCATGTATCGGGCACTTCTGGAATAGCAGACAACAGAGTGATGCTAACGAATCCAAAATCTATGACAACGGGGGCTGGCATGTTGCTGTCCCATATGGGTGCTGGTTTGCGGCTTGCCCAGCTGCTCTGCTTCCAATCCAGCTCCCTGCAGAAAGGAGAGGGATTTGGGTTTGTCAGGGTTGGAGTGGGAGGGTCCTCCCCTAGGCAAACCACAAGTGAGCCTAGACCTGGCTGTGATGGTCACAGTCACTCCCAGGTGCAGAGCTTTGACACCTGGAAACAGTTCACACACACCACACACACACACCATAGACACACACCAAACACACACCACAGACACACACAACTGACACATACACAGACACTACACACACCACAAACACACACCACAGACACACACAACTGACACATACACAGATACTACACATACCACAAACACACCATAGACACACACCACACAGACACACACCATACACATACCACAGACCCATACACACACCATACACACACACCACAGACACATACACTGCCCACAAACACATCACAGACATACACTACAGACACCACACACATACTGCTCACACACTACAGGTATACCACAGACACACAGACACCACAATACCCCCCACACTGCATGCACACCACAGACACTGCATGTATACCATAGACACATACCACACATAACTCATACTGCATGCACATCACACACATACCACACACACACTGCATACACATACCCCACAGACACACACACACACACACATACCAGACACATACATACAGTAACACATGCCACAGACACACAGACACAAGACACTACACACACACACCCTGCAGACACATACCGCATTCACACACACACTACACATACCATAAACACACACCACACACATACACTGCATACACACCACATACACCACAGGTGCATACCACAACCAGACAGTGCACATACACACACACCCCCAACAGGTGCACACCACAGACACACTGTATACATACCATAGACGTACACCACAGGTGCATACTACACACACACATATACTGCATATACAGCACAGAGATACACCATACACACACACAGTATGCACACACACCAGACACTGCAGACACAGCGCACACATATCATACACACATATACCACACATTATACACACACACCACACATACATCACATCACCCATACCACACCTACACAAACATCATACCACACCTAACATGACACACCACCCACACACACTGCACACATGCCACATGCATATCACAGACACACAAACCTATGTGTGTCATCAGGGAGGGCCCCATGGACTGAACCAGGGCCCACCTCACTGGTGCCTCCTGCCACAGGAAGAGGTCCCTGCTGGTGAATGACCTCTGTGTGGTGGCCGCAGCTGTCCTGTTTGGCTTCAGTCGCCGGGCGGGCTCCTTCGAGATGATCATGCTGGGCAGACTGCTCGTGGGCGTCAGCGCAGGTATGGCCGCCTGCTGCCCGCGCATCTACCCCCTTTCTTTCCTTCCTCCAGGGGGTCTCCTAATTCGATCCACCTTTCATTCACACATGCCTTTGTTTTTGCAAAAATGACTACAAATAGTTGATCTTCAGAGTCTCCCGGGACAGACACATGCGGCCGTAGAAAGATGATCCAAGAGCAGACGGCTGGTGCTTGATGCTGTCTGGGCCCCTGCACCCCAGGCTGGAGAGCTTGGATTCCGGTCCCAGCTCCACTTCTGAGTCCAGCGTCCTGCTCATGTGCACCCTGGGAGGCAGCAGCTGATTGGGTCTCTGCCACCCACATGGGGACACCTGGATGGACTTCTGAGCTCCTGGCTTCTGGCTGGCCCTGCCCTGGTTGTTGCACTTGGGGAGTGAACCAGAAGACAGAAGAACTCTTTTTCAAATAAATAAAATGGAAGGAAGGAAGGAGGGAGGGAGGGGGGAAGGAGGGAGAGGGGAGAAGAGGAGTGAGTAGACAGCCGCAGCAGGAGCAGCCAGTGTAAGCCTTGGCTTCCTGAGCCCCAGGGACTTGCGTCTACCCTTCACTTCCTGCCCCACCAGACCCCTGGGAGGCCTTCATGCCTATCCCAGCAGCAGGATCTACAAAGAGCTCTGTGGGGGGGGGGGGTGTGGGGAGCAAACCGGACTAGACTGAGTTACTGGAATTAAGACTTATTCTATGCATCTGCTCTCCCACAATATGGCGCTGGGAGAGAAGTAAACAGCTTCCGCACAGCTGCCTCCAGTTCAATCAATAAACTGTAGGACTTGCTCCTGATTGGGGAGCAGCGTACTCGGCGTGTGGGCAGCCGAGTTGGGATTGGCGGAGGAGGACTATAAAGGAGGAGAGAGACGGCATGCACCAGGAACATCTAAGGGGAACATCTATCTGAAGGAACACCTGTGCAGCCCCCGAGAGAGCCGGCCGGCGGTGTGCCGCTCCCCCCCGGAAGTGGGGAATGTGGCAGGGGGAACCGCCCTTCCACGGAGGTGGAAGGGACAGTAGCCAACCCGGGAAGAACCAGCAGCAAACCCGGGAAGGGCCGAGCAGACGAAAGAACAGCGCAGGGTCCTGTGTCGTTCCTCCACGAAGAGGGGGAGCGACATAATGGTGCCGTGACTCGGATATGAAGCCCAGGCAGGGTTTAGTGTCGTTCCTCCATGAAGAGGGGGAGCGACAGGGGGGGACTCTAGCAACCCACCAGGAAGGGAGCTGAGGGGCTGATGCCGTGGTACCATACGGGCAGTGGTTCTTGTCTGCCTCGGCTGTTCCACTTCTGATCCAGCTCCCTGCTAATGTGCCTGGGAAAGCAGCAGAGGATGGCCCAAGTGATTGAGTCCCTGTCACCCATGTGGGAGACCCAGACGAAGCTCCTGGTTCCTGGCTTCAGCCTGTCCCAGCCCAGCTGTTGCGACCATCTGAGAAGTGAACCAGTGAATGCAAGATCTCTCTCTCTCCCTCTCCCCCTCTCTCTCTTTCTCCCTCCCTTCCTCTCTATCTCTTTCAAATAAATTTTTTTAAAAAGGAAAGGGGAGGTGATCTGCGGCCCCACAGCAGGGGCACAGCCCCACAGTGTGAGGGAGAGGCCCTCGAGGCCGGAGCCCAGCACACTAGGGGCTGTGTGGTGCCTGCCGAGCGAGGCCGGGCGTCCGGGGCTACACCTGCAGCTGACACGCCCCCTCTGTGCACCCATCCAGGTGTGAGCATGAACGTCCAGCCCATGTACCTGGGGGAGAGCGCCCCCAAGGAGCTCCGAGGAGCCGTGACCATGACCTCAGCCATCTTCACGGCCCTGGGGATCATGATGGGACAGGTCGTGGGACTCAGGTAAGCACCCCTCCTCTGGGGGCACCAAGTGGTTCTAGGGATGCTGGTGGGTGGGGGAAGCCTGTCTTCACCTGCATTTATCCCCTGCCCGATGGGTAGATTGAGGCGTGGCTTCTTTGCACAAAAGCAATGAAGCCCTGGCCAACACACCACACAGGTATCAGCCAACCACACTCTTGTGTGAATCACCTTTGCCCAGGCTCTGCAGTCCAGGGAGCAGAGCATGGGTGCTCACAGATGAGGGGTTAATGGCTGGAGCTTTAAGAAGGGAGCACAGAGGAGGGGGCAGAGCTGGGACCCCTGGGGAGGCGAGTTGTAGGGAGGAGGGGAGCAGGGGCCCTCTGCCTGGCTGGGAGGTATCTTCACGTCAGACGCAGAGCTGGGTAGGAAGAAGCACAGGACAGTGCAGGTCCTTTGAAGGCAGCTTGGTGGGTAGGCAAGGGGTTAGGGGGCAGGTGGGCAGGGTCGTGGCAAGGAAGCACCTGACCCAGCCTTTCCTCTGTCTCCCCAGGGAGCTCCTGGGTGGCCCACAGGCCTGGCCCCTGCTGCTGGCCAGCTGCGTGGTGCCCGGGCTCCTCCAGCTCAGCTCCCTTCCCCTGCTTCCCGAGAGCCCGCGCTACCTCCTCATTGACCGCGGAGACACCAAGGCCTGCCTGGCAGGTGAGTTGCTGCATCTGGGCCCCTGTCTCTTGGGAGTCCTTGTCGCGGCAAGGCCATCCCTCTCTTTGTGCCCCAGTGCCACGACCTGTCCATACATACATCGCAGAAAACTCTTTATCCGAGGGGTTGGGGCAGGTCAGACCCAGCCACTGCCATCCAGGGACCCCAGCAGAAGAGCCACACCTGCAATGCAAGGTAAAGCACCGGTGCCAGACCTCACCGCCCGGCACCAAGTGGCCAGTGGAGCCACTTGGTGTCTTCGTCAGACAGCTGTGCCGCGGCCCTCTGGGCTGGGCTGCAGCGGTGCGGCTCTGCTGCCCTTGCCTTTCCTTTGACCTTGGCCCTGACAGGCTCGCCTAGGAAGGGTCGTGGTGGCAGCGGCACATGCAGGCAAATCCAGGGGCACAAGCACTTTCTACCACCATTCCCTCACACCCAAAACATTCCTCTGGCCAAGGGGCGTCACGCTGCTGAGTGCAAAGTCTAGAGAAGGACGGTTCATGACACATCCTCCCACTCCGTGGAGGCATGGGCGTGGGGGAGGGGTGAAGACCAGGGCCCCTTAATTATCGCACCACTGTGGCCAGTGATGTCTCCCCGTGTGTCCAGTCCCACCCTGGGGGACTCATCCAGTCATGGTATCGGGCTTGAGGTCCTTGATCCTAAGATCAGATTAAGTCTAAATATGTCTTTTTAAAATTTGAGAGGGAGGGAGAAAGAGCACTCAACTACTCTGGAGGCCCACAAATGCCTGTAATGGCCAGGGCTGGGTCAGCCAAAGCCAAGAGCCAGGAACTCAATCCAGGACTCCCATGTGGGCAGCAGGAACCCAACCCCTTGAGGCATTACTGCTGCCTCCTAGCATCTGCGTTCGCAGGAAGCTGAAGTCAGGAGCCGGAGCCGGAGCTGGGGATGGAACCCAGACGCTCCAGTATGGGACACAGGCATTAGTAAATGGCTTTTTTTTTTAAGATTTATTTATTTAGTTGAAAGTCTGAGTTACACAAAGAGAGGAGAGGCAGAGAGAGTGAGAGAGTGAGAGAGGTCTTCCATCCACTGGTTCACTCCCCAGTTGGCCAAAATGGCCAGAGCTGTGCCGATCTGAAGCCAGGAGCTTCTTCCAGGTCTCCCACACGAGTGTAGGGCCCAAGGACTTGGGCCATCTTCCACTGCTTTCCCAGGCCACAGCAGAGAGCTGGACCAGAAATGGAGCAGCCAGGACTCGAACCGGCGCCCATATGGGATGCCGGTGCTTCAGGCCGGGCTGTTAACCTACTGCACCATGGCTCTGGCCCCTGTAAATGGCTTCTTAAGCTGTAGGCTAAACACCTGCCCTCCACGTGCGTGCCTTCTCTTGATCCAGAGACCAGGGGCCTGGGAACACAAGTCAGGTGAGGCAAGGAGACCACAGCGAGGCGCGAGGCAGGCAAGGGAAGGGTGCGGAGAGTCTCTGAGCCATAGGGACTCTGAGGTGCCCCTGGGAGCACACGGCCAGGGGTGTGTGTGTGTGTGTGTTCCTGGATCGCGTGCTGGCTCCGCCCCCAGAGAGCGGCTCCTGGCCTGCACTTCTCTGGGGCTCCTGTGTAGCCCTCCCAGGGGGTCTCCCTTCTCCTTCACCTTCCTGACCCTTCCAGACCCTTCCAGAAGACAGAACCTGCTTCCTGTCTCTACAAAGCTGGGACACGAAAGTCTGTATACAATGTCCACCTGCTTCAGTCTCCTTTCATCCAGGCTGGCAGAGGTTTCCCCAGTACAGCTTTCTGAAAAACCAGACGGGTTTTCTGTGTGTTTGGTCTCTGTCCCAGCAAGCCACACCCACCACTGCTGTTGGGCAAGGACCCGAGTCCTGTGCTGGCCTCTGGGCATTTCCAGCGCCCTCCGGCCTTCTGATTGCTCCCCCTTTCACCTCTGAGGGTACACGAGGCTCTGCTTTAAGCCTTGACTGTGCGCTGTGGCTTCCTGGCCGGGCTCCAGTGTGAGCTTTGCCCTCAGACGGACACTTCATCTGAGACTCTTAAGTTCACTGGAGAAGCTACAGATGGGAATCAGGTGTTTTTTGTTTGTTTGTTTTTTGTTTGTTTGTTTGTTTTTTTTTTTTTTAGCTAACCTAGCACTTCTGGGATGTGCTAAATTTAACTGGACTTTGTCCCTTCTGAATCCTGCTTGCACACAGGCCAGTGTTTCGGGCGCCCGTCTGGTGTTACTCGTGGTAAGGGTAGAATATTCAGTTCAGGTTTGCTGCACTCGGAGGTTTCTGCTTGGATTCCCAAGTGCATTCGGTCTACTGTTTCCTTCCTTCCAGGCCACTGCACCACATAGCACGGGGTTCCACTTTTCCTAAGGGCTTTCTGCCTCGTCTTATAACCCAGCACTCTCGGTGAGGGTGCCTCAGCAGGTTTGAGGCAGGGCAAGCGCATGGCAGAGCAGTTAGGTTGCTGCCTGCGTGCCCACTTTGGGTCCCAGCTTCTCAATCCAGCTCCCTGCTAATACATGCCCTGGGAAGCAGCAGGTGATGGCCCTGGTACTTGAGTCCCTGCCACTCACACGTGCAACACTTGGATTGGGTTCCAACCTCCTGTTTGACCTGGTCCAGTCTTGACTGTTGCAGGGATCTAGGGAGCAAACCACCAGACAGGAGATCTCTCTCTCTCTCTCTCTGCCTTTCAAATTAAAAAAATATATATATTTAAAGCTAGTAGAAAATGGAAAGAAAAGGTACATTTTGATACCAAAAAATCTTGAACTCTATGCATAGTTTGTTCTTGATACACATTTTTCAGGAAGTTTTTGAAGATCTCCTATGCATAGATTTCAAAAAAAAAAATTTTGCACCCAAATAAACGTGTCTTTTAGTTCCATTTCCATGCACCTGTTGAAGCACCTTTGTGTCGCAGGTGCCCGTTTTAAGCGTGGCTATGCCTGGTGCCAACTCAGAGCTGTCTCCCTCTGTCCTAACAGCCCCCAGCGGCCTCTGAGCCCGGAAGTCGCAGCCGGGCATGCGTCTCACATCTCCTCCTAGGACCCCAGGGCCTAGCCGGTTTATTCCCGTGGGGATGAGAATAGAGCGAGCAGAGTGCACAGGGCCCGCGGGCTCGGCGGAGCCGCAAGACAGCCTAACCGAGGGCTGCCTACGCAGAGGGGTGAGGGGCGGGGAGCGACAATGGCCGCGTGCTCCTCACCCACGACGTCCCGCTGAAGCTGCACGGGAGGCGGGGAGGGGAAGGGGGCGCTCTTGGGGGACCTTAGCGGGTACGGGCGGTGGCGGGGCGGCCCCCTAACCCGGGCCTGCTCCCTCCAGCGCTGCGGCGGCTGCGGGGCTCCGAGGACGTGGAGGAGGAGCTGGTGGAGCTGCGGGAGGAGCGGGCCGCCTGCGGGGCCGGCAGCCCGCGGCGTCCGTGGCATCTGTTGGGCGACCCGGCGCTGCGGAGGCAGGTGGTGAGCCTCGTGGTGCTGGGCAGCGCCATGGAGCTGTGCGGCAACGACTCGGTGCGGCGCGGGGCGCGGGCGGCGGCGCGGGGCCGGCGGCGGCGGCGGCAGGAGTCTGAGCGCCACCCCGTTTCCCGCAGGTGTACGCCTATGCGTCCGCCGTGTTCCGCGCCGCGGGGATGCTGGAGCACAGGATCCCCTACGCGCTCGTGGGCACTGGCGCCTGCGAGCTGCTCGCCTCTCTCGTCAGCGTGAGTCCTCGCGCCCGGCAGCCCTGCAGCGGGTGGGGGGACCCGGCCTTTTCCGCTAGCGCCAACAAGCACTGATTGAGCGCCTGCTGTTTGCCGGGAACTCGCCCCACCGTTCTGAGATGGGGAACTGAGGGATGGGACTGGCCAAGGTCCTCTGGGGAGTGCACGATGCGGCGCCCTCAGCGTCCTCTGCCGCTGAACCCAGGGCACTTGGCCCCCGGTGGCCCCCGGTGCGCCTGCGTGTCTGAGCACTCCTGGCTTTCTTCGCAGAGTGCGGTGGTGGAGAGGGTGGGCCGGCGCGTGCTGCTCATGGGGGGCTACTGCCTCATGACCTGCTGGGGGAGCGTCTTCACCACCGCCCTGTGCCTGCAGGTAGCTACGGATAAGGGGAGGGGCTGGGAGGGAGGGGGCGGCCTCTTCCTCCTTCGATTCACCCCACCCCACCCCACCCGTGGCAGGACTCCTACCCCTGGATGCCCTACCTGGCCATGTCCTGTGTCTTTGGCTTCATTCTCAGCTTTGGCATTGGCCCCGGTGAGTAGCCCAAGGGTCTCTGGGCTTCTGGTCCTGCCACAGGCACCCTGGATGAATGGGGGAGCCGGGCCCCGGCAGCCCACCTGTGCCCAGGCCTCTGGGAGGGGAGAGAGTGGCTGGAGGAGCACCCCCAGGGTCTGTTCCAGTCCTTGCTCCTGTCCCCGCCTCTTGCAGCTGGAGTGACAGGGATCCTGGCCACTGAACTGTTTGACCAGACCGCCCGTCCTGCTGCCTACGTGGTGTATGGGGTGCTCCTGTGGACCATGCTCTTACTGGTGGGGCTGGGGTTCCCCTTCCTCATGGTAAGCCTGCCCTGCCCTGTGGCACCTGCCTCCAGCGGGGCCCCTATCAGCCTAAGAACCCCCGGAGGCCTCCGTGGGGGAGGGGTCCTGGGAGAAAGGAGCCGGTCCCTCCTCTTGGTCTCCAGGCCTTTCCTTTGGAGGCCGAGGGGCACACCAGGTCTCGGGGTCTCTCTTCACCCACAGGAGGGCTTGGCCCACTTCATCTACGTCCCTTTCCTTGCCGTCTGCGTGTGTGGGGCCGTCTACACCGGCTTGTTCCTTCCTGAAACCAAAGGCAAGAGCTTCCTGGAGATCACCCAGGAGCTGCACAGACTCAACTTCCCCAGGGACCCCAGGTGGAGGGGCCCAGAGGTCCTTCAGTTCACCGAGCTCTAGCCTGGAAGGCACGGCGTGGGCCCAAGCCAGTGCTGCCCAGCGTCTGGGCTGCCACCACCCATGCATTCCTGCATGGTGTGTGCGGGTGTGTGCGGGTGTGTGTAGCCATGGTGCCAGGTGCTTAGCCATCAGTGGTGAGGCAGCCTGCGGCCCAGGTCTGAAGGCGGTTCAGTGGGAGGCGAGGATGGACAGCAGTGGGCCCATGTAGCAGGGAGGCCTGCTCTGTGTGTTTTTGGGGGAGCAGGATCAGAAATGGACTATCAAATGAGCTGGTTCCTGTTACAACTTTATAGAGGCCTAATTTGCATGCAGTCTCCGTCTCCACCCAAGCCTGCACTTGATGAGTTCTGACAGCTGAGCATAGCTGTGGAACACCTGCCCTGTTGAGACGGCAGGGTCACATCACCCTGAAGGCACCATCCCGCCCTGGGCTGCCAGGGCCCCACTCCACCCCAGCCCCAGAAATCAGGCTGCTGTCATGTGAATCCCCGCTGTGCGGAGGCATGCAGTGTCTGGCCTTTGGAGGCTCATGCGTGTTGTTGCATGTGGTCGTATGCATTTCTCTGTATTACTGAGTAGCTAGCCCCTGTGTGGATGTCTATCTGTTACCTGCCAGTACACATTTGGGTTGTCCCTGAGTAAAACTGCTGGGGACGTTCCTACACAAACTGCTGTATGGATGTTTTCATTTCCTGAGTGTCTGCGTGGCAGTAACACAGTCCCATCCGCAGGTGCTTTGTAAGCAACGGAAGTTTATTGCTGGTAGTTCTGGAGGCTGGGACTTGCAGGATCAAGGCGGGGGCAGGTTCAATGCCTGCTGAGAGTCTGCTCCTGGACCACCCTGCTCGCTGTCTCCAGGCTCTGCTGGGGACCTGTGGCCGGTGGCGCCATGGGGACAGTAATCAGTGTGGACAGGCCTTCGTCTGCACTCTCATGCATCTGTGTCTCTCCAGGACCAGGGTCTCCCACCTCAAGGTGTGTGGTGGATGCTCCTCTGAGTCCCAGGAGGGCAGGTTTCTGAGCAGCAGCCCAGGACGCCGCACTGCCTTTAAGTCAGGCCGCTGTGAGCAGCTCAGGGCGCTCATCACTGTAAGCCTGAGCCAGGTGTAGCCCCTGGAGCCCGCCCATGGGCCGGGGCTTGCAAGCAGCCTGCTGGCAGCAGTCGGGGACATAGTCTCCCACTCCACCTCGATGCCCACCGTCAGGGTCTTCATCCAGTAGTCCATTTCCTGCTCTGGGACACTTGGCTGCCTTGCAGGAAGATCAGGTGGCACGGACTTCAGCCCCTCCTGCGTGTTGGGACCTGGCCCTTGTCTCATTCACGCCCCACACCCGTCCATGGGAAAGGACTCACTGCCTCTGCAGTGAAGAAGCCACTGAGCTCCGAGAAACAGCGCAACTCAGTGCAGAAAGCCCTGCCCGCTCCTCCCAACATCTTGCATCGTGGGGCCGCCCCGAGCCGGAGCCTGCCCTCTGGAGCATGTGCGCCCAGCCTCCAGAGGGAAGATGCTGGGGGTGTCTCCTGGCAGACAACCCTCTTTGTAGTCTGCACACAGGTGGGCTGGGTCGGGGTCACCAGAAGGGGTGATTCCACCCCCCCCCAGCCATCTTCCACAGCAACTGCAGGAGAGCGGAGTTGTCTGTACCTCGACTTTCCCCACACTCAGTTGTGGTGGAATGAGAAGGCCATGCCAGGATGGCCACTGGCAAGCCAGCGTCAGTTACTCAGGAATGGCTTTGAAACCCACCTGGCAACGGAGCCTGCCTGGCAACAGGCTCTGATTCTATAGCTTTGGAAACCACATGGCAAATGGAGCCTACCTGGCAACAGGCTGTGATTGGTTAGGGCATAAACCGCCCCTTGACCAGATTGGCTGCCTTGGCTATTTAAGCTGCTGTACCAGCTGAAATAAACGAGTCTGTGGGCTGCTCGCCTCAGGCCTGCTTTCACCCACTCCTGGAGTTTGTGTGGTGACTCCGCGCCTCTTGCCCCCACCACGCTCCTCCTCTCAGAACGAATCAACCTCAACACTCAGTGCCCCAGATGTGAGCACAGGGACTGGGGCACTGGGGACAGACAGAGCTCAGGGCTGCATGTGGGGGTGCCTGGCGCAGTGTGGCTGGGGAAGGGGCACTGTGTGCAGGGGGCCAGGTCTCTGGAGCTCGGGCCAGGGAGAAGCAGCCAAGGGGAAGAGCAGGCGACTCACATCCTGCCGAGAGAGAAGAGAGATGGTCAGGTGGACGGCCGGCTGCCCACCCATTGGCGTCTTCCTCAGCCGGCAGCTTGCTTCCCTCCCTCCGTCTGCTCAGCAGCCTGCCCCAGCCAGCGGCCCCGCCTGGGCCACACCTGAAAGACACTGATAAGGGCAGGCATTTGGTGCAGCAGTTAAGACGCTCCTTGGGACAACTACACCTTAGATCAGAGCACCCGGGCACCAGTGCTGCCTCTGCTTCTGATTCCAGCTTCCTGCTGATGGCTTAAGTACTTGAGTCCCTGCCACCCAGGTGGGAGACAGAGAGAGAGCCCTTGCCATACAGTACCTTGGGTAGGCAGGGACTTGTGTAAACTGAAGGCAGCTAAAAGGCTGGGCTTGGGCAGAGCCGTGTGTGGTGGAATGAGAAGGCTGTGCCAAGATGGCACTGGCAAGTGAGCATCAGTTGCTCAGGAAATGGGATTCAGAACCCACCTGGCAAAGGAGTCTGCTTGGCAACAGGCTGTGATTGGTTACGCCATAAACCACCCCTTGACCAGATTGGCTGCCTCGGCTATATAAGCTGCTGTGCCAACTGAAATAAACAAGTCTGCGGGCTGCTCACCTCTGGCCGGCTTTCACCCAACTCCTGGTGTCTGTCCTGACTCGGCGCCTCCTGCCCCCACTGCACTTCCTCCTCTCAGAATGAATCCACAGCAATAGCCCTGATTCCTTTGAGGGTTTCCACTCCCCTATCCCTGCCTGGGTTTTCCAGCTCATGGGCACCCAACACCTGCTACAAATCCAGGGATCCAGGTCAAGTTGTTTCAGGCAGGGGGCGGGGTGGTGCCTCCATCGGCAAGGTGGGTGCCCACGCACTGCACAGGCTGCGGCCGTATTACCGGTAGGCAATGTCTGAGTGCCTAGAGAGGCCAAAAGCTCCCACAACAAACCACCACAAATGAAGTCACTTAACACATCACACATTTATTATCTCACAGCTGCCATGGGCCAGGAATCCAGCACAATGCAATTCCATCTTCGGCCCGAGGCTCCAGACGGCTGGAGGCAGGGTGTCTGAAGGTCACCTGAGCTGCAGGACCCACATTCAAGTTCATTCGGGTTGTTGGCAGAATTCAGCTCCTTGTGGCTGGCCCACGGTGGGCTCTGGCCCCTTGCTCATCACAGCCAGGCAGGGCATGCCACACAATGCCACACCACACCACGCCACGCCACACAATGCCACACCACACAATGCCACGCCATGTCCTTGTCCTGCTTTGGACCACTCTGGCTCCTGCTGCTGCACCACCGGACCCCAGGTAGAGAAAATTCTCTGCTTTCAGGGACTTAACATGATTAGACTGGGCCCAGCCACAAACCCAGAATAACCTTCCCATGCAAAGGTGTGTAACCCCGATTACATCTGCCAGGTACCTCCTGCCTTGAAGCAAACCTAACGGGGTGAGGGCACGGGTGGAACCAGACAGCAGAGACTGTCCCCCTTTGTTGGCACTCACTGCCTCATTACAAGGCATTCATTCACAGATAGAAACCTGGAGCCCGCCCGAGGTCACATGTGGGACCTGAGCCAGAGAGGCTCCTGGGCTTCCCAAGGAATTGAGGCTCTGCTGAGGTCTGTACAGGAAGCTGGAGTCAGGCAAGGGGAAGTGTAGCAGACTGCAGCTCAGACCCAGGGCCAAGCCAGGAGCCAGGAGCCAGGAGCATGGCACTGGAGGGAAGAGAACATGGAGGGGGGTGCAGGGAGGCCGGCCCCACAGGGCCCCCTGACTATTCCCTCTTTCCTATCAGGGGCTATTAGCAGCATGTGGGCCACAGGGCCCTTGCACCACCCTGCGGTAAGGTAGATGCTTTTGTTATCACCAGTTACAGGTGGGGAAACGCATCGCAGGGAGGGGAGCCACCCAGCCAAGCTCGTAACGGGTGGGACTAGGCGTCCCGTCACCTGATCAGATGTCCTTCTAAGAGGAGGCAGGGGTGGACTCGCCACTGACACCCGCACCCCGTACTGCACTTCCGATCCAACCTCCTGCTAATGCACGCCTGGGGAAGCAGCAGAGGAGGGCTCAAGCGCCTGAATGCCTGCTGCCTGCCTGGGGGAGTGACCCGATGCAGTTCCTGGCTCCCGGCTTTGGCTTGGCCACTGGGGGAGTGAGCCAGCAGCCATGAGACCTCCAACAACAAATGAAAACAAGAACAACAACAACAACAACAAAAAGGTGAGTGAGGCCGGCTGGGGAGCAGAGGAGATGTCCAGCAAATGCCTCTGAGGCTGCCCTGGCGAGGGCAGGTGCCCCAGGCCACAGCAAGCACCCGACACTCACAGAGGCTCACGTCCAGAGCCGCATGGCGCTGGCCCCACCAGTCACTCTGCTCCCATTTCACTGGGCGGGGCAAGTCAGTGGCCGCAGCTGCTGTCCCCCACGGGGTGGGGCATCACAGACCACATGGTTGAGGCAGAGGAGCAAAGTAAAGACAAAGGGACAGTGCAGGGAGGCGCACTCCACCAGCTGGCCGTCATTCATGCTTGGCTTTGGACATGGGGTGGCTGGAGATGTGGCAGTGGGGCAGAGCCCCACCCACAGGGACAGCGGGTTTGAGCCCAGGAGACCTCCTGCCTGGAGGCTGACTGGTGGCACGCAGCTCCCACAGGCACCAGCAGCCTTGCAAGGCCATTGCAACGGCCAAGGCGGGAGTGTGCTGTGCCGCCCCAACCGGACTGCAAATGCCAAAAAAGACCAAGAGTGAGCTCCTCTGAGAGCAGAGGACTTGGCCAAGTGCACCCTGCCTTGAGGACCCGAGGGGCCAGCTCCGCGGCCCGGCGCCCCGACCCGGCGGCGGCCTGAGTGGCAGGAGGGGTGGACACTCCGCTCTCTGGTGGGAGGGCCTGCGGGCCCCTCCGTGCCCCGTGGTCAGCGACCAGTCCTCCCTCTGCTGTGTCATAGTTATCTCTATTCTCTCATTCCCCATCCATGTGGGATTCAGTCCGATGCAGGCGCGGCGCCCACCGCATACCCCTTCAGCTCACCACGAGTGGAAGAGGCACGAAAGTCTGTGACAGGGCTGTTCGAGGCGGGCAGGGCGCCCCGAGGGGCTGACGGCCGGGGGTCCCGGGCTTGAGAAGCCGAGCGGGGCGCCCGCCTTGGGTCTGTGCCTCATCTCCCGCTCCCCGCCTCGCCCACTTGACAGCACCGGTGCAGGGAAGGGACCGGATGGTGACAGGGCCGTGGCAGCCCCCTTCCACCCGCGGTAACGCGTACCCCTCCCGCGTCGGGCAGGGGGCCCTAGGGGTCCTGGGGCGCCATGGGCCCAGGGCGGCTCTGTTCGCCGCCGCACGCCGACTTCTGACAAAGCGCCTCCAAGGACACATCAGACGGAGCGAAAGGGCTCGCGAGGGCAGGCGGCGAGCGACCGCGGCGGGACACACGTCGCGCAGCGCCGACGACCGGCTCCGACGGTGCGCACGGCAAGGCCTGGCACGGCCCGCTCGAGGAGCCCGGGCACCGCCCCGGACGCACGTGACGGGCGGTGACGTCTGCGCGAGGGGCGGGGGCCGGGGCGGAGCCGGGCCCGGGGACGTCGGCGCGAGGGGGCGTGCCCGGGGGCGGTGCCGGGGGCGGTACCGGCGGAGGTCACGTAGCTCAGGTTCCCCGCTCTTCCCGCGGCGCGCGCTCCTCTGTGCACTGCTCTAGGGTCGCCGTCCGAGAGCCACCATGCCGATGTTCGTCGTGAACACCAACGTGCCCCGCGCCTCCGTGCCGGACGGGCTCCTCTCGGAGCTCACCCAGCAGCTGGCGCAGGCCACGGGCAAGCCGGCCCAGGTTTGCGGGGAGCGGGCGGGGGGCCGCAGGGTGGGCCTCCGGTGGGCGCCCAGGGCCGGCGGGGTCGCTCGCGTGGGCTGACCGCGCGCCTCCCCGCAGTACATCGCGGTGCACGTGGTCCCGGACCAGATCATGGCGTTCGGCGGCTCGAGCGAGCCGTGCGCGCTCTGCAGCTTGCACAGCATCGGCAAGATCGGCGGCGCGCAGAACCGCACCTACAGCAAGCTGCTGTGCGGCCTGCTGTCCGAGCGCCTGCGCGTCAGCCCCGACAGGTGAGGGGTGGGGGCTGGGGGGGCTGGGGGCGCCCCGGGGCCGCGCGGCCCGCTGAGCCCGCCTAGCCCGCCTTCCCTCTGCTGCAGGATCTACATCAACTACTTCGACATGAATGCGGCCAACGTGGGCTGGAACGGCTCCACCTTCGCCTGAGCGCCGCGCGGGCCCCCGCCCGGCCCCGCCGCCCCTGCCCGCGCCCCCCTCTGCCCCTCTGCGCCCCCGCCCTCCCGCGCACGACAAATAAACGGTTGAGACGCCACGGCCGCCTCGAGGAGCTTCCTTGACTTGCAGGGAATCAGGGCGCGGCCGGGCCCGGGCTGCCCCTGCGCCCCGCTCTCGGGCTGGGGCTGGGGGTGGGGGGTCCTCCGAGCGGGGGTCGCTGCGCCTGGCGGGAGCGGAAGGGCCGCCAGGGGGCGCCGTGGGGAGCTGCGCGGAGCGGTGGGCGGGCGGGGGGCTGGGGGCGGCTGGCCAGCCTAGAGAAAAGTTACCGGCCGAAGGCAGCCGCTTTGTTCTGGGGCGTGAGGCCTGTTTTCAGTGCCAGCACGGCGGGCGGCGGGGGTGCCCGGGATGCGCCAGTGCCCTGAGAAGACCCCCCGCCCCGAGGCGGCCCAGCCAGGAACACACTTGAGGGGACATGTACTCCACCTTGTGGATTCTAGAACTGCAAAGTACGGCAGTTCAGCTATTTAAAAAAAAAATGGCAAAAGTCAGCAGAGCTGTGGCTTTATGGTGCC